GGGAGCTGAAGGTTCGAGTTGCCAAACGTCAGCCTCGAAACCTTAATGACTTGGAGAAGATCTGCAAAGAGGAGTGGAACAAAATCCCTCCTGAGATGTGTGTAAACCTGGTGGCCAACTACAAGAAACGTCTGACCTCTGTGATTGCCAACAAGGGTTTTGCCACCAAGTACTAAGTCATGTTTTGCAGAGGGGTCAAATACTTATTTCCCTCATTAAAATGCAAATCAATTTATAACATTTTTGACATGCGTTTTTCTGGATTTTTTTGTTGTTATTCTGTCTCTCACTGTTCAAATAAACCTACCATTAAAATTATAGACTGATCATGTCTTTGTCAGTGGGCAAACGTACAAAATCAGCAGGGGAACAAATACTTTTTTCCCTCACTGTATAAATCTACCTCTACTACCATATTTGCATAGCTCTCTTTAAGATCCTATTCTGGATTTTCTATTTTATTTCCTTTGATATTGAACACTGCATTGTTGAGGAAGAGCTTGTAAGTAAGCATTTCTCTGTATACACCTGTTGCATTCTGTGCATGCGACAAATAAACTTTGATTTTGATCTTTCTCATAATTATAGGAATGATTGCAAAAGGACATTCTATAACATGCAATACAATGACTGTGAAGACACTGTGTTAGAAGCCATACAAATAAAGTAATACTTATCACAAAGCAGCAGCAGCAGCAAACATGGTGGCAGCATGCTGGATCAATCTCCTAAGCAGCCAGGGGCTCCAAGGACTGTTGTGAGCATCTGCAGGACTATCACATCAATCTGGTTAAGCTTCAGCAGTAGGAGGGTGGATGGGCAAACTGGGCATTCAGTTAGCCACCATCATAGCTCAGCACAAAGCTTATGGACAACATCTTCTCGATCCAGCAACGGCAAGGTTGTGGGTTCAATTCACACAGGGACCACATACACACGCTACAAATATGGTAGCAGGATAGGAAGATGTGAATTATGATAGAATAGGGTGTTTTTATTAAAGTTGTGCACTTTGTGCTCCCCAAATCTACATTGGATTCACCCCAAAGACCCAGGCGATCTGACTGTATATCATTCAGTATCTCCTCTCCTCTTAGCATTGTTTACATCATATAAGAGCAAACTCTCTAGATAATGCTACAAACACTTGGGAAAAAGCCTATGGAAAATGTCCTGTATATTGTCTTCTAACTCCCAACCTCTATGTTGCATCACTGATAATATAGGATGCGTCCCAAATGGCACCCTATTCTCTATAAACAGTGGCTTGCGAAAGTATTCACCCCCCTTGGCATTTTTCCTATTTTGTTGCCTTACAACCTGTAATTAAAATTGATTTTTGGGGGGTTTGTATCATTTGATTTACACAACATGCCTACCACTTTGAAGATGCAAAATATTTTTTATTATGAAACAAACAAGAAATAAGACAAAAAAACAGAACTTGAGCGTGCATAACTATTCACCCCCACCCCAAAGTCAATACTTTGTAGAGCAACCTTTTGCAGCAATTACAGCTGCAAGTCTCTTGGGGTATGTCTCTATAAGCTTGGCACATCTAGCCACTTGGATTTTTGCCCATTCTTCAAGGCAAAACTGCTCCAGCTCCTTCAAGTTGGATGGGTTCCGCTGGTGTACAGCAATCTTTAAGTCATACCACAGATTCTCAATTGGATTGAGGTCTGGGCTTTGACTAGGCCATTCAAAGACATTTAAATGTTTCCCCTTAAACCACTTGAGTGTTGCTTTAGCAGTATGCTTAGGGTCATTGTCCTGCTGGAAGGTGAACCTCTGTCCCAGTCTCAAATCTCTGGAAGACTGAAGCATGTTACCCTCAAGAATTTCTCTGTATTTAGAGCCATCCATCATTCCTTCAATTCTGACTAGTTTCCCAGTCCCTGTCGATGAAAAACATGCCAACAGCATGATGCTGCCACCGCCATGCTTCACTGTGGGGATGGTGTTCTCGGGGTGATGAGAGGTGTTGGGTTTGTGCCAAACATAGCATTTTTCTTGATGGCCAAAAAGCTAAATTTTAGTCTCATCTGACCAGAGTACCTTCTTCCATATGTTTGGGGAGTCTCCCACATGCCTTTTTGCGAACACCAAACGTGTTTGCTTATTTTTTTCTTTAAGCAATGGCTTTTTCTGGCCACTCTTCCATAAAGCCCAGCTGTACGGCTTAAAGTGATCCTATGGACAGATACTCCAATCTCCGCTGTGGAGCTTTGCAGCTTCAGGGTTATCTTTGGAATCTTCGTTGCCTCTGATTAATGCCCTCCTTGCCTGATCCGTGAGTTTTGGTGGGCGGCCCTCTCTTGGCAGGTTTGTTGTGGTGCCATATTCTTTCCATTTTTTAATAATGGATTTAATGGTGCTCCGTGGGATGTTCAAAGTTTCAGATATTTTTTTAGAACCCAACCCTGATCTGTACTTCTCCACAACTTTGTCCCTGACCTGTTTGGAGAGCTCCTTGGTCTTCATGGTGCCGCTTGCTTGGTGGTGCCCTTTGCTTAGTGGTGTTACAGACTCTGGGGCCTTTCAGAACAAGTGTATATATACTGAGATCATGTGACAAGTTGAAACAAGTTATTTTTTTCATTTCACTTCACCAATTTGGTTTAATTTGTGTATGTCCATTACATGAAATCCAAATAAAAATCAATTGAAATTACAGGTTGTAATGCAACAAAATAGGAAAAACGCCAAGGGGGATGAATACTTTTGCAAGGCACTGTAGTGCACTATGTTTGACTAGGGCCCATAGGGCTCTATGCACTGTGTAAGGAATAGGGTGCCATTTGGGACGCAACCATAGAGATTTGTTTCTGTGGAATAAGAAAGGAAAGAACCTAATATATTCCACTGTAATATCAATTAAACAGGCACTTGTATTCCCAGCCCGATTCCAAAGACGTAATTGTGATGTTTAGCCATTATTTTCTGAGTTTAGTTGCAAGAGCGATCCCTGTGTGTTTAACAGAAGTGCTTTTTGCTGTTTGTTTTGGTTGTGTTTCAGATTATTTTGTGCCCAATAGAAATGAATGGTAAATATTGTATTGTGCCATTTTGAAGTCACTTTTACTGTAAATAAGAATAGAATATGTTTCTAAACATTTCTACATTAAAGTGAATGCTACCATGATTACAGATATTCATGAATGAATCGTGAATAATGATGAGTGAGAAGGTTACATAGGCATAAATATCATATCCCCCCCAAAATGCTAACCTCCCCTGTTATTGTAATGGTGAGAGGTTAGCATATCTTGGGGGTATGATATTTGTGCGTCTAATTTTCTCAAAATGTACCCTGAAAGACTCACAGCTGTAATCGCTGCCAAAGGTGCTTCTCCAAAGTACTGACTCAGGGGTGCCAATACTTATGTAAATGAGATATTTCTGTATTTCATTTTTAATAAATATGCAAACATTTATAAAAAACAAAATTCACTTTGTCATGTATTGTGTGTAGTTGAGTGTTTAAAAAAAGATTGAATCCATTTTGAATTCAGGCTGTACCACAACAAAATGTTGCCCTGTATTTATGTTATCTTAGGCTTTCATAAATCCCCCTTGAGTCTAATTAACATAAAATAAAAATCACCATAAAAATCAGTCTGTTTAAGCTAGAGATATCCGTTTTTTTTGTATGGGATGCATCTCAATCCACCACATCCGCCTATGTCGGTGATCCGGATATCGGGATGTCTCCTAACTAACTTACATTACTTTTTATTACCAAGGATTCTTACTGCCAAGGACTATCCAGCAAACTTTCTGACAAACCAGCAACCAGCAAAAGAAGCACAACAGATATCCAACCTGGAACTGAGTAAGTCATGTTCAGTCTGAAGCTACTTTGAAATCCTAGAAGGAAAAGAACATTACAATAATCTCTAGATATTTAACTTTATAAAGACTGAATGCTAAATTAAAAGGCTACCAAGCTTGCTAGGAAAAAACAGACCCGGCTGCAACATTAATTAGCACTGAAGTGTGAAGTGAGAGGTGTGAAGCCCCTGAGCCCAACAATGGCAGCTGAGTTCCTCCCCCACCCAAATGCAGAGGACTCTTTGGCCCCCTGCTCCATGGCTTCCCCCTGTGCAGAGGTCACCACAGTACAGTACCCCTTGGATATTGAAGATGACAAGGCACGGAAAGAGTACAAAGAGAAGCTCCTCATGGACAATCTAGAGATACTTTTTGCTGACTGCTACAAAAATGGGAACGTAAGCAACCTAATCTTCCACACAGATCATCCCTGGGCATGGCACACAGCTATAAGAGCACAAAACCCCTCTTTTAAGAGAGAGGGTATTGGCGGAGGGTGGGAAATCAGAATACTGGAAAACGAGGACCCTGAGACACCCTCTGTCAACCTGTACAAGAATGGAACAGTGGTGGTGCAGGGCAACTTCATACATTTCCAAAAGGATTTCCACAGAATCAAAGCGAGAGCACGGCAGGAGAAGCTTTCTCTTGGTGACGACCACCCCACCCCGAGCGAGTCTGATCAAACCTCTTCAAACTGTCCTGCAAACACCAAGTAGCTAAACTCTGGTGTCCGAACGCTTGGCGTGTCCTGGAGCTGCTGTCAGGGGAGCGACTAGGGTCCCCCAGCCACATCATAATACACACAGGCACAAACAACTCGCCAGCCAGAACCACATCAACCCCAAACCCCTTAATCGCCAACAGACTTACATCTCTCTTTTAGTCTCCCTCCAAATATTCTTAATTTTAGCATTCGGTGCCACAGAGATCATTATGTTCTACATCATATTTGAGGCCACACTTCTCCCAACACTAATCATCACCCGGTGGGGCAACCAGACGGCGCGCCTCAGTGCAGGCACCTACTTCTTATTTTACACCTTAGCCGGCTCCCTGCCCCTCCTTGTAGCCCTCCTCCTTCTACAAAATGACAATGGAACACTGTCCATATTGACGCTGCAATATACACAACCTCTTCACCTTTTAACATGAGGAGACAAGCTATGATGAGCTGCCTGTCTCTTAGCCTTTCTTATAAAAATACCCCTATACGGCGTTCACCTATGACTCCCAAAAGCCCATGTAGAAGCCCCAATCGCAGGTTCTATAGTCCTGGCTGCTGTTCTTCTTAAACTGGGTGGGTACAGTATAATACGTATAATAGTCATACTGGACCCGCTAACCAAGGAGCTAGCATATCCATTTATTGTCCTAGCCCTTTGGGGTATTATTATAACCGGATCCATTTGCCTGCGTCAAACGGACCTGAAGTCACTGATCGCTTACTCCTCAGTAGGACACGGGGTTGGTCGCAGGGGGTATTCTAGTTCAGACACCCTGGGGATTTACTGGCGCAATTATCCTTATGATTGCACACGGTCTTGCCTCCTCAGCACTATTCTGCCTGGCTAATATAAGCTACTTACGGACACATAGCCGGACAATACTTCTAGCCCGAGGGATACAAATAATTCTCCCCCTGATGACCACCTGATGATTTGTAACCAGTTTAGTCAATCTAGCCCTTCCACCTCTTCCTAATCTAATGGGAGAGCTAATAATCATCACCACCATATTCAACTGATCGCATTGAACTCTTCTCCTCACAGGGGTCGGAACACTAATTTACATTTACATTTACATCATTTAGCAGACGCTCTTATCCAGAGCGACTTACAGTTAGTGAGTGCATACATTTTTCATACTGACCCCCCGTGGGAATTGAACCCACAACCCTGACGTTGCAAGTGCCATGCTCTACCTAATTACGGCCAGCTATTCCCTTTTTCTATTTCTAATAACCCAACGGGGGCCCCTGCCTTCTCATATTATTGCTCTTGAGCCCACCCACACCCGTGAACACCTGCTCATCACCCTGCACCTTATTCCCATCATCCTCCTAATCCTCAAACCGGAATTTATATGAGGCTGATGTTTCTGTAGATATAGTTTAACTAAAGCATTAGATTGTGAGGTTAAAGCCCTCTTATCCACCGAGAGAAGTCTGTTGACAGTAGGGACTGCTAATCTTCTACCCCTTCGGTTAAATTCAAGCAGACAACCTAAGAAAATTAACAATGACAAATGGTTTGATGAAGAATGCAAAAACCTAACAAAGAAATTGAGAAACCTATCCAACCAAAAACATTGAGACCCAGAAAACCTGAGCCGTCACTATGGTGAATCACTAAAACATTACAGAAATACACTACGGAAAAAGAAGGAACAGCATGTCAGAAATCAGCTCAATGTAATTGAAAAATCCATAAAATCTAATCACTTCTGGGAAAATTGGAACACACTAAACAAACAACACGAAGAGTTATCTATCCAAAACTGAGATGTATGGATAAACCACTTCTCCAATCTTTTTGGCTCTATAACAAAGAACAAACAGCAGAAACATATACATGATCAAATACAAATCTTAGAATCAACTATTAAGGACTACCAGAACCCACTGGATTCTCCAATTACATTGAATGAACTACAGAACAAAATACAAACCCTCCAACCCCAAAAGACCTGTGGTGTTAATGGTATTCCAAATTAAATTATAAAATATACAGACCACAAATTCCAATTGGCTATACTTAAACTCTGTCATCTTCCTCAATATTTGGAACAAAGGACTGATCACCCAACTCCACAAAAGTGGAGACAAATTTGACCCCAATAATTACCGTGGGATATGCGTCAACAGCAACCTTGGGAAAATCATCTGCATTATCATTAACAGCAGACTCGTACATTTCCTCAGTGATAACAATGTACTGAGAAAATGTCAAATTGGCTTTTTACCAAATTACCGTACGACAGACCAAGTATTCACCCTGCACACCCTAATTGACAAACAAACAAACCAAAACAAAGGCAAAGTCTTCATGCTTTGTTGATTTCAAAAAATATTTTAACTCAATTTGGCATGAGGGTCTGCTATACAAATTGATGGAAAGCGGTGTTGGGGGAAAAACATACATTATAAGTGTGTGGTTAAAATTGGCAAAAAACAAATTTCTTTCCACAGGGCTGTGGGGTGAGACAGGGATGCAGCTTCAGCCCCACCCTCAACATATTTATCAACGAATTGGCGAGGGCACTAGAACAGTCTGCAGCACCCGGCCTCACCCTGCTAGAATCTGAAGTCAAATGTCTACCGTTTGCTAATGATCTGGTGCTTCTGTCCCCAACCAAGAAGGGCCTACAGCAGCACCTAGATCTTCTGCACAGATTCTGTCAGACCTGGGCCCTGACAGTACATCTCAGTAAGACAAATAATGGTGTTCCAAAAAAGGTCCAGTTGCCAGGACCACAAATACAAATTCCATCTAGACACCGTTGCCCTAGAGCACACAAAAAACGATACATACCTCGGCCTAAACATTAGCGCCACAGGTAACTTCCACAAAGCTATGAACGATCTGAGAGACAAGGCAAGAAGGGCCTTCTATAGGAACATAAATTCAACATACCAATTAGGATCTGGCTAAAAATACTTGAATCAGTTATAGAAAAAATTGCCCTTTATGGCTGTGAGGTCTGGGGTCCACTCAACCAAGAATTCACAAAATGTGACAAACACCAAATTGAGACTGAGATGCAGAAATCTGCAAGAATATCAGTGTACAACGTAAAACACCAAATAATGCATGCAGAGCAAGCAGAATTAGGCCAATACCCGCTAATTATCTAAATCCAGAAAATATACAATAAATTCTACAACCACCTAAAAGGAAGCGATTCCCAAACCTTCCATAACAAAGCCATCACCTACAGAGAGATGAACTTGGAGAAGAGTCCCCTAAACAAGCTGGTCCTGGGGCTCTGTTCAAACACACAGACCCCACAGAGCACCAGGACAACAACACAATTAGACCCAACCAAATCATGAGAAAACAAAAATATGACTTGACACATTGGAAAGAATTAACAAAAAAAAGAGCAGCTAGAATGCTATTTGGCCCTAAACAGAAAGTACACAGTGGCAGAATACCTGACCACTGTGACTGACCCAAAATTAAGTAAAGCTTTGACTATTTACGGACTCAGTGAGCATAGCCTTGCTATAGAGAGAGGCCTCTGTAGGCAGACCTGGCTCTCAAGAGAAGACAGGCTATGTGCACACTGCCCACAAAATGAGGTGGAAACTGAGCTGCACTTCCTAATCTCCTGCCAAATGTATGACCATATTAGAGACACATATTTCCCTCAGATTACACAGACCCACAAAGAATTAATAAACAAATACAATTTTGATAAACTCCCATATCTATTGGGTGAAGTACCACAGTGTGCCATCACAGTAGCAATATTTGTGACCTGTTACCACAAGAAAAGGGAAACCAGTGAATAACAAACACCATATTGATGTTTATTTATTTTCCCTTTTGTAGTTTAACTCGTTGCACATCGTTGTAATGGTAACGAAGACGCAGGTAGTCAGGAAGCAGGTGCAGTCGGTGAGTTTAATAAGAACGAACATAGAGTGAATACACAAATAAGATTAGCTTCTGAACATGAACACATAAACAATACAGCCTGTAGGGTGATAACGGAGTGCTAGATAAATGGGGAGTAATCAGGGAAGTGATGAAGTCCAGGTGTTCCTAATGAGGCGTAGGTGTGCGTAATGATGGGTTGCCAGGACCGGTGGTTAGTAGACCGGCGACATCGAGCACCAGAGAGTGGGAGTGGGATTAGACGTGACCGTACCCCCCGATGTGTGGTCGGCCAGGTGGACGGCCCCCTTGGGCGAGGAGCGGGCTGGTCCGGACGGCGAAGGTGGAAATCTCTGATGATGTTGGGATCTAGAACGTTGTCCACCGGAACCAAAAACCACTCCTCTGGACCGTACCCCTCCCAGTCCACCAGGTACTGGAGCCGACCTCCATGACGTCGGGAGGCCAGGAGGGATCCAATGGCATAGGTGGGGCTTCCCTCGATGTCCAGGGGAGGCGGAGGGGTATTGTGGGGGACAGCATCAGCCAGGGAACCAGGAACCACCGGTCTGAGGAGGGAAATGTGAAAAGAGGGTGAGATTTGGTAGTTCGTGGGGAGCTGTAGTCGGTAAGTTACCTCATTGACACTCCAAAGAACTTTGAAGGGCCCCACAAACCGGGGGCTCAGCATCTGGCAGGGCAGGCGGAGCGGGAGGTTCCTGGTGGAGTACGGGTGCCTCACTGCGGTGGCGGTCCGCCTGCTCCTTCTGACGGCGGATGGCGCGTTGGAGCCTCACGTGGGCAACGTCCACCGCAGAGACTTCGGTCTGGCTTGGGGTCCACGGGGCCGGCTGGTATCCCAGGACACACTGGAAGGGAGACGGCCCGGTGGAGGAGTGACGAAGTGAGTTCTGGGCGTACTCCACCCAGGGAAGGAACCGGACCCACTCCCCCTGCCAGTGACCCCTCAGGAACCTCCCTAGCTCTTGGTTGGTCTCTCCACCTGCCCGTTGGACAGAGGCTGGTACCCAGATGTGAGGCTGACTGTGACCCTCAGCTTCTCCACGAAAGCTCTATACCCGCGATGTGAATTGGGGACGATGGTCGGAGACGATGGCCTCCAGAAGGCCATAGTGCCGAAAGACCTGTTGGAACAGTGCCTCAGTGACCTGGAGAGCGGTAGGGAGACCAGAGAGAGGGATAAAACGGCAGGATTTGGAGAATCTGTCCACAGCAACCATAACAGTGGTGAAACTATCAGACAGGGGAAGATCAGTAACAAAATCTATTGACAGATGGGACCAAGGCCGCTGAGGCACGGGGAGGGGAAGGAGTTTCCCTGCTGGAGCGTACCGGGGAGATTTGGTTTGGGCACATACGAAGCAGGAGTTGACGTAGCGGGCAACGTCCTGCGCCAAGGTGGGCCACCAGTACTTAACAGATGGAGTGAGGGCTGCGGGTGATACCTGGGTGTCCAGCGGCAAGGGTTGTGTGCGCCCAGGTTAATAGCTGAGGGCCCACCTTGCTTGGCGCAGGTTCAGCCGTGTTGCTGTCCGTATGTACTCCAGGTTCCGATGGTCGGTGAGAATGAGAAACGGGTCCGTGGCGCCCTCCAGCCAGTGTCTCCACTCCTCTAATGCCAACTTCACCGCCAGGAGCTCCCGATCGCCGACGTCATAGTTCCTTTCTGTAAATAGACAGCTTCTTAGAGTATGCACATGGATACAATTAGTGGATTACCTTGTGACAGGATGGCCCTCACGCCCACTTCTGAGGCGTCCACCTCCACCACGAAGGGCAGCGTAGGATCTGGGTGTAACAGCAACGGGGCGGAGGTGAAACGCCCCTTCAGTAGGCAGAAGGACTCCACACCAACCTACGAAGTGGCGGGACAGCCAGCTAGTGAAATCGGTACTAAAAAAGGGCTTGGTGGAGAGTGATGGAATACTCACACCTACCCCAGGAGATGGATGATCACGGGGCCATCCCTCTGCTCTAGTGGCTCCTGGGTTGGGAAGTAGCGGACACCGTTGAAGCTGGTGCCCGTCCTGACCGCAATAGGGACAGAGCCCCAGCTGTCTCCGACGGCGTCGCTCAACCGCGGGGAGGCGTGTAGCCCCTACCTCCATGGGTTCAGGCTCTGACTCAGAACGGTCAATGAAGGCAGGAGAGAGGCGAGGGGGGTGCCGACGCTCCCGAAGGAGGTTATTCAGACCGATGGCCACCGCGATGAGTGCGTCCAAAAGAGGGTGTCGTCTCGGCATGCCAACTCCGTCTGGACCTCTTTGCGCAGTCCTCTTCTGAATAAGGTGCGGAGCGCCGGCTCATTCCATCCGCTGGATGCTTCCACTGTACGGAAGGTGAGGGCGTACTCCGCAGCGGTCTGGCCCTCCTGCCGTAGTTGGAGTAGGCACTCACCCCCCTCTCTGCCCTCCGGTGGATAATCGAAGACTCCTCTGAACAGAGCCATGAACCTCTCATAGGAACC